GGTGTGAAGAAACAACCGTTCATGCAGTTAACTTAATTCAAGTTTTGTGCAAAAACGCATGATCGCACCGGCTCGCGTGCTGCGTTGCAGCCTGGGTTTGCAGGAAGTTTTTTTTGAAAAAATGCAGATTTTCAGTTCAATAAAAAATGGAGGTACTGCTCGAACGGTCGTTTGTCAAAATATGCAAATGAACTAATGTTCATTTACATATTTGGGTAAGGGCGGTCGTTCGCCGCGAAACACACTCGTTTCTGATTTTTCGGTAAGGTTGAGTATTTCTCATGCCTACCTGTAGAGAATTCCACCTTCAAGCAGAACTGAGACCGCACTTGAAAGTAGAATATTCGAGCGAATTTTCAGCCTCGTAGCTTATCCGGTAAGCGAAATACCCACTTCGCTACAAATATCTTTGAAGTGCCATAAGTTGTGGTGCAAGTATAAATCGGTAATCGTTTTCGATATACGGTCTGTGGGAGACAAACATCCTAACAAAATTTTAGCCACTGTTTTCCGTCAAAGTTTCGAGTTAGCAAAATAGCAAGTCGCAAACTTTGACGTGATCGTACGCACTTCACAAGCGTGCGCGACAGTTGAATTTGAAATCTTTAGCTAGCACCCGCATAGAGAATATCCCTGAAAAGTTTCTGCTTTCTACCTTGCCTGGTTCGCGAAATCGTTACCCGCCAAAGAAACTTGCATATTTATTTGGGGGACCCGTACGCGGGATCTAGGAGCGTTCGGGGGAATATCCTGAAACGGGGGGGGGGGTGACACACTGGATAGAAAAATATAACCAGAGTTTCGAACCCCCAGCTTTCCTGGTTGCTGAGATGAAAGTGGGTGATAAAATGCACTCGATTCTGAACACACACATACAGCCTCTCGACAATATGCGTTTTGCTGGCTGTAGCAGCGCTATAGCGCTACTACAGCGTTGCACAGCAAAAACGCATAAAAACGTCTAAAATTCTTTGTAAATCAAAAACTGAATAGGTCAGAAGATCATTCTAATGAAACTTTGCATAATCTGATTCATTCGCACAGTGGATCGCGATGCTAATTTACTAAATGCTTTTGTCATATTCTGATAGATACCACGGTTTCTTCTTCTATAAACCTGAGGTGGTAGAACAATAACACTTACGAAGAACTGTTTCAGTGTGAAAACAAGTGATTATAGGTGGTTCTGGTGAATGAAGCAGCGTGCTGAGTAGCAGATAAAGCGGATTAACATGCTGTTAACAAACCTGTGATCCTGGCAGCCAACAGACCCTTCGTTTATGCCCTTGATTAGGTCAAAACCTACAAACGATGTACGCGCATCGAGCTCGATCCCATATTCATCAAAAGTGCGAGTGACTACACCGCCTACAGTGCTATTACCATCAAATATTAGCGGCTCCGAGCCCAACACAAAGTAGGAAAAAATTTCTTTCAGAACATTTCATTGTTCATACGGCAGCCGGATAAATCTTTAAAATGTCAAAAAACAAAACCGTTCGTAAGCTGCGATGTACTTGTACTTGGAAGTCAAGTAAATACAAAGATTTAACTGTAAAAGATTCACTGTGATTTCGAATTTGTGGGATAAATCTTACATTTTATCATGCAACATTTATTTCGTTATGTGGTGCAGTACAAGACAGTGCAGAACGAGCTACATCGCGGATATGTCATTGGAACGAAAGCGCTACATGAAATACACCCTTAGCCATTTTGTCCGACTTGTTTGTTAAGCAAGTGATCTGTATGTAAGCGTCAGGAAGTTCGTCCTCCTGCTTTTGAAAGAAGAACTGCCATAGATGAGGGCCTTTCGTTTCAATATCTTAATATTTTGATAAGCTACAGTTTCAAGCCCGATTCTAGAGCTGCACAGCAGACACCTCCAACTGCCTTGATCTGTACTGCCAATTGCTTTGACCCGCCTTTTTGACAAGCGAAACCTAATGTTTGTTTTGTTTGTTTAATAAAAATTTCGCTGATCAGCAAATAGTCGAAATCAAACTTACCATAATTTGCTGCTGGAAAATGTGGGAATGGCGTGGGCCCGAAAAAAGCACCACCGAAATATTGCGGAGGCAAAGATGGTGGAAACAGAAATGGCGGCGGAAAAAGATATCTCTCGAAGGGCAACGGCAGTGGCGGTGGATATGGGTAGTATGGTGAAGTCATACTGACTTCTCGATCAGCTGCAACCTGAAATCATTCGAAGTTTGTGCCGCACTAACTTTTGGAAGTTGCATACAATCTGACGTTACGTTTTGTAATAAGCAAAAATTATCTTGATCGTATGGCGGAGTCAATCAGTTATTGTTCTATCATTGGTTATATAAGACGAACACTTCCTCTTTCAGGAGAATGCTAATGAGTGAGAGTTTGCTTCTTTTAGTCATCTGAAGTTCTTCAGAAAAAAAAGTCCCTAAAAGCGATTTTTAAAATCTAGCCGGCAGTTTGCTTTTGTCCACAATTATTAATTTTGACTCGTTTTTCTGGAATAACTCAAGCTCACGTTTCATTCTGCTTGCACTTCTATTGAAAGACACTTGACGGTAAGCTGAAGAAATAACACTTCTTACAGTTGGTGGAAAAGCTTCGGATGATTTTGCTTTTTTTTGAATTTCCTATGAAAAACACTTGTTCGAAGCAGTCTGAGCCATCATAGCCCTGGAAAAACCGCCTGCAGAAGAGAGCTTTTGCGAGGAGAAAAAATTTATGAAAAAGCAGTTTTCGTTGAGCGATTAGTAGCAGGTAAGCTGAACGGAATGAGTGAGCACTTCGACTATTGAACTACCGTAATCTTGGAAGGTGTTTGGCATTGTAGGCGGTGCTGGCATGTTACAGCGTTTTAGTCGGTTGTCGTGGCAGTTGTCTGTTGCAGTGCAATGTAAACGAGTGCTAACACATTCCTCATTATTGTCACTCTCTGCACCAGATGTTTGCGCTAAATGTAATCATAAAGGTGTATGGAAAATTGCCGGGGAAAAAATTTTCACATTAAAAATTGCACAGCCGAAAAATTTCACATTAGAATCTCCTTACTGCCTTCTCTTCGCACTTATCTCGGGCGTTTTAAGCGAGCGAACACATTTAGCCTCTGCCGGGTGTGCTTCATTTTTGGTCTTATAGTTGACGATATTTTCACTTTTTCTAAATTTAAAATGTTCTATAACCTAATCCCTGCGTAAGTAGTTTCTGGCAGCGCGATTGGATAAGTCCACCCGAGCACCAGTTCAGCGACATCGCTTGTATTATCTCATAGCTTGTGAAAGCGTGATGAGAATTAACTGCTTTTTTTGGTCAAATTTCTCCTGCAGCTGACGATACAGGCTAAACGCACTCAGCTAGACTCTTGGCAAAACAAGATCCGGTTTTCTGAAAGAGTAGGACTTTGAGTAGCCGAGTTAAAGCTGGCCAAATATTCGAAACGATACGGCTCACTAAAACCATTGGCTGATCCAGGGAGCGAGAGATCTTTCGCCCCCTCCTCCTTTTCCTTCCCAGGGGCTTAGGTAGGAGCTGTTTTACTGTACAAAAGTCTGCTCGGTACTCCCTTTCGCCCCCGAAGAGCCTTGTCAATCTCAGTTTAGTGTCCATTGGTGGGGAGAGAGGAGGGGAGAAAGGGTAGCGGACCGCTGAGGGTAGTGATGAGCGGGGAGGGGGGGG